TTGGATCGTCGAATATTTTTTTTCCGAATTTGATGCTTCCATCTAAGATGACAAAGTCTTTCTTCATTTGTCAAGCTCGCAATGTACATATTTATATAAAATAGAAATTTCGTATCTTGCCATCGCATACACATTACCTAGTTAAATACTCAATTTCTAGATACAGTAGTGCTTCACCATAAGAACACATATATCTTTTGAAAATAAAAATTTTAATTTCAAATCTCAACACTAATATATTCCGTTTGCTTAATGAACGAGTATTACAATAAAAAATAAATATTGACTTCATAAGACTCAGATTTGAATCGAATGTGGCTGCCTTTAAGATGATAAACTTTATACAGACATATATATATATAAATAAATATATATATATATACATAAATCGAGCGCCAAGTGCTCGGCGGTTATCAGTGCTACTTTATTTTGAATAAAAGCTCTCGAAGCAAAATAAATCAAACCGAATCGTAATATAAATAACATATAGTCAAGATGTTCCAGGCTGTCGAGTGCGATAAGTGTCCCAGCTGCTTGGGTTGTAGTTTCGCAAGACCTTTGATTGATAGAGCCAAAGAAACGAGTTCGTCTCGCCATCTGAAGCAATGTACAGTGAATGCTCTATTAAGCCGAATCGATAATTTCAAAATTTCATTGAATACCAAAATGGGTCTAAATTTTCCTAAAACATGTATTATTATGATAAAGCGAGTAACTTAATATAATGAAAATATTTGTTCTTTTAAGCGAGCCTCTACTGCATGAAATGTCAAGAAAATTAAAAACTTGAATTTGTTTGTGCACAAATAAAAAGTGTCAAGTTGAGTTTTTCATTAGATAGTTAGTTAGTGTATGTCTGTATGTATGTATGTATGTATGTATGTACATATATCCATGGGCTATGTCTATATGGAGTTTACGAAGGGGAAGAGTTCTGTGATATATGTATATACTTAGATCAATGCGCACATATACAACTACATATACACACACGCACACACATACAGCATAGCGTTAAAGGAGTCTTACGTACATATACATATGCATATATATAGTATAATAATATATAATATAATATAATATGCTATACACATTTTATCATAATTTCGTTTATATATGGATTGTTTTTTTTATCTTTAAAGTGTTTCTTTTTAGATTTTGCTGAAAAAATATGTTGATCTGTGTTTTCTCTTCAACTTCGTCTTCTTCTTTGTCTTTGTCTTATATGCTATGTTCCTTTGTTTTCTTTTTCTTCTTTTTTTGTAAAATATACATACATATACAATATAGATACACATACATATATATATCTGTTGTGTTCAGTTGTAGATAATAGAAAATGGCATCAAGTATGCATATTTCCGATTTTTAATATTTATATATATATGTATAAGAGATTGGTGTGTTTGTTTACCTAATTTACAGTTGCTTTTTGCTTTTCTTTTCTTTATGTTAACTAAATTTCGTAAGTAGGAAGTCAAAGCAAAAACACAACTAATGAAGAGATCTCAAGACCCTGTCAATATATGTATATGGCAAGTGTATGGCAATGATATGGTAATTATTATATTACTTTAGTAATTACTTTAAATAATTCATGAGTTCGTCGATTACTTTATCTGTGTGTGTGTATATCCATGTCTGTGTCATTCGAGGAACATAATTACAAATGAGTTGAGAGATAGAGCGAGAAAAATGGAGTTTCGTTTCGTTTCGCTCCAGAGAACATAATTCAACTAAAATTCATACAGATCTATATATATATATATACTTTGTTTATAGCCGCGTAGCGCTCTATCGATGCGAATGCAAATTACTTTCCACCCATTTGTAGAGCGATGTCTGAGATCTGGCCACCCATTCCACATTGGAGGCAACGCTGCTGAGCGTCATGTTGAGCACGGACATGCCCTGTCCACGGCCAAAACGATGCACCAAGGACTTTAGCTGAAAGTACACCAAAATAAATATATATAGATCAATCGGGTGTATACCCTTGGCCTACCTCATCGTAATCGAATTTCGTTGCGCCATATTGCGTTATGGCCGATATCACTTTGGCAAAGCTAATGGTGCCTGGTCCCAGACGCTTCTCTAGCTCGTACCATTTGGCCTGCAGGAAGCGGCAGGCCATTGCCCCGCCTGTGGGCGTGCCGGCAATGGCCTTGAGCACCTGCACCACCTCCTCGGTGGGCAGCATGGTGACGTGTGAGAGCAAACGATTCTGCAGCCAGGCATCCTTAGTGCGTCCCAAAGCGCGCAGCAGCTGCATTCGCTCCACAAATGTCTCCGAGGTGCGCTGCAGCGTGATGAAGCGCTCCCAGCAGTGCTGCCAATAGATATACTCGCCGGACAGAATGGAGCCCGTGTAGACCACCTGTAAGGCAGCAGCTTAATTCAGGTAATTCCTGCTTCTATCTCCCAACAACTCACCTCGCGCAGATTGGGCGCTATGGCCGAGCCATTGTAGTATAGATACTGATTCAACATATTCTTGGCCTTGGTTATGCTGTCGATATCCTCCCACAGAACGGACGCCAGCAGCACCTCCGGGCGCATTAGCCTAGCAGATGAAAATATTACAACTGTCATCTATTGCATGGAGAGTGAGTCATCTCACCTGATGGCCACATCGCCCTCATCCACCCAGCCCACCTTCTCCATTACCGTGGACAGTTTCATTTTGATGAACTCGCTGAGCATCAGGAAGCATTCGGAATACTTGAGTATGCGACGCCATTTCTCCAGATGTCGCACAGCCAATGCCATTGGGCCGTAGTGCGTCTCACTGGGCAAATATTGGATCATGTTCATCGTAATCTCACAGGGCAGGAGATTCGCATGGCACAGCGTAAACGCATCCGACAGCAGACCCAATCGATCCTAGAGAAAGGTCAGCATTAAATTCAGTGCTCAGGTATTGATTATTGTGGACATACCTCACTGGTGAAACGTTTGGGATTATTGGACAGCTCCTCGATGAGACTGGCCCAGTTCTCATCATTGTAGATGACGCGATAGTAACCGTTCTGTATGGCATTCACCTTGATCCATTTCACATTCTCTGGCACATTGAAAGTAACTAAAGTTGGGGACAAGACGTAGAAATGTTAGTTATTTGAGTAAGATTGAGAATAAGTTGAGGAGGGACTAAGATATGGAGGAGGGACTGGGACTATTCCCATTGCCAGACTTTAGTTGGGATAGAGGCAAGGGGATTGAGACGATGGCTATAGATTAGCTCATTCAGTATCCTCTACCTTCGCTCTGGCAGTTCTACTCACCATCAACATTCTGCATCCAGAGCGTTTCGCTGGCGTTGTTCATATCCGTGATATACGTCACTGGGAATATCCACTTGAGATGCGGCGCAGTCTTGTGCTTGTTGGCATGGGTGGGTGGCACAGTGCTGGGCATGTCGGTGGCATTCACTAGCGTCTGGTTGTAGTTGTTGCCATCGTAGGACTCATCATGTATGGCCAAGAAGTCGGCTGGCTTGAAAGGTCGCTGCGATATGGATATGCTGTTGCCCATTTTGGTGACGGTGAGCAGCGGAAAGCCTGGCTGATGTGTCCACAGCGTCATCATGTCCTTGATGTTCTTCGAGCCGTTGGCCTTCTTGGTGCATATGGTCCAGAGATCAGTGGGCTCGGCGGTCTTGAAGCGATTCAGCTTGAGGAAGGTGCCCAGGCAGCCACGAAAGCGATCCTCGCCAATGGCCGTGTGCAGCATGGAGAAAATGGCGGCCGTCTTCTGGACGAAGAACTCTTCGTTGTTGCCGTCGTGGCGCGTGCCGTTCATGATGCTGTCCCAGCCCTGAATGGCATCAATGTCCAGCGCCGTGGTGGCCATCTTCAGCAGGTACATCTCGCGCAGCGGCCAGCTGTCCTGCAGGGGAGCCAGCGCATGGATGCCCAGATATTGAATGAGGCCCTCCCACAGCCAGACGTCCTTGAGCACCTTGCGGGAGGTGATGCCGCCGAAGAACTGACGCACCATGGCCTCCGCAATGCGCAGTGCACTGAACTGATACTGCTCCGTGGTTATGGAATTGGGGTCGGTGAGAAATGCGGTCTTCAATGTGACCAGACCCAACGAGGAGATCAAATTGCGATCCAGCGAAGGCAACGCCACAAAGTCCACCTTGGTCAGAGGATAACTGATGTCCAGCCAGGTCTGCAGATACTCCAGCACATCTCGGGACGTGTGCAGAATGAAGGAGGAGCGCGGCAGTAGATCCCTCGGCGCATAGAACGTATACGAGGGAGCACGTTTGATGGACGAGCCCGTCGACTGCGACAACGAGGTCAGATTCGAGGGTTTCCCATTGCCATTGATAATCACGGGCAGCGATGTGGTCGTCGTGGTGCTGACATTGTGGAAGGGCGTCAAGTTCACATTCAGCGAGTGCGTCAAGGCAGTAATGTTGCGTACGGGCGGATTTTTGCTCTTCAATTGCGTGTAGTTGTTCAGCTGAGATGGCTTCTTGCCGCCGGCAGCGCTAGGTGGCGCCACTGTAGTGGGTATATAGGCGGCCGAGGGCTGCAGCGACTCGCGCTGAAAGTCGCTGACCACCCAGGCAACAGCATCAGCCGGCAGTGGAGGCGTTTCAATGAAGTCATCTCTCAACTAGACATGGAATTTGGATATCAGTGGAGTTATTCGGGACTCACTCAACAGCTCACTTACCAGGCCGGTGCCCATGTAGAAGCCCACATCCTCAGTTGTATGCACTATGGAATTGGATAGACCTATGTGGAAGCGATCACGGAAAACGGAGACACGGAAGGGCGCACGTACGTGTGGCTCGTCGAAGCACGGAAAGGCGCGTCGTGCACCATTCGGTCTAAAGACTGTGGCTGCCAGCAGACTGTAAAGAGTTTGGCATTAGCTAATGGGCTCAAATATAAATCAGGGCTGCAAGCTGAACTAAAACGAAGCGATGCCAACCCTAAAACACAAGCTGATCCGGAAATCGACTTTTAATACCCTCATGCTAGGATATATATTCTTCATTGGGATGAAGCAACAAGGCGAGTTCTGCTATATGGTCTATCCGCTCGAGTGAGCATGAATATTTCGATCTGTACTATACGAAAACGGAACTAGGACTTTACACGTCCTATCCTTCATATCATATGTTATTCTTTTATTAATCTATCCAATAGCAAGCCAGATCTTAAGGGATTTGGTATATCTATTCTATTAAATTATAATTTTTAAATTATAAATTTCCATTGTTCAGGGGATTGTTGTATATTTGTAGATAAAAGTTAGTCTCTCTCTCTTCTATTTATCTATTGTAAGAGCTGGAATTTGGTATGCTCATTCTATAAAACTATACGTTTTCCCTTGTTCCCAGCATACTTAATAAGTAATACTTATAAATATAAGTGAGTCTTGATTTTTCAGTTGTCTCCCAATTAGGCCTTTTCATCTCTCATTTGCACCGCTTTCAGCTTTGCCAGCCCTTAATTAATTAATTTTCAGCTCTCACCGATCCCGTCCATTGAAGCTCTCATATTGATCCACATAGAAGCCCTCCGGCTCGGGATTCAGCTTGGAGTACCAGCGTAAATTGAGTGTATAATTGGATTTCTTTTTGAGCTTCTCTTTGACTTCAATGTAGAATTGCTGACGTGGCGGAAATTCCAGCACCTTGACTATCTTCAGAGCATATCCCTTGGGTCCGGGCGTAACCAGCGCCTGTGCACACAAAATGCAATTAGTTAAGACTCTGCTAATTGGATGCAGCTGCAACTCACCTTCTCGGTTACATTCAGATCCTGTATGTGCAGCACAATAAAGTTGGTCTCCTTCTCGATGAACAGATCGATAGTCACTTGACCTGGCAGAGTAAATAATTGCATTAGATGAAAATCAAATGAATCGCAAAAGTCTCTCTCACTCTCTCACCTTTCACGTCCAGCGTCGTCAGATTGGGATGTATTGTGACCACATAGCGCATGGGTCGGACGCTGTTGGGCAGCATCTTTTCGAGCCAGGGGAAGGGCTCCCCGTTCGTTGCAATCGGATTGAATGGCTGTGTGTTGTTTTCTTCATCCGTTTCATAGCCAGACGTCGTTTTCGCCGCGCAGGAACAGTCTGCAAAGGTCATACACACAAACGAAACGTTCAGGCACAGTGGTTCACGTGGCCAGGTGGGTGACAATGGGGTGGGGGAGAGTTTGATATATATATATGTATATATATTATATGGCTTTGGGATTTGTGGCTAAGCACATTGATGCTTGTTGTAAATCAACTGCGTATTACACGATTAACAAAGAGAACAAAACTGAAACTAAATAAAAAGTGGAGGCATCAGAAAGTCTAGGATTAAGCAAAGAGAGAGAGAGAGAGAGAGAAAGAGGTGAAAATAATAATACCAAGAGAATAATCCAAATGGTAAATAAATTACACAAAGTAAAAGCTAGCACACAAATCGATTCACTAGCGGAGGAGTTCATGATTTGGTTTCACATGGGTTGGCTAGCACATCTAATGGCAAAGGTAAGGTAAACATAAATATTAGAGAGAAAAAACTTCAGTCATAAAAGTAATATTGGAAAAGTTGTTAAAGAGCAACGCATAAGCAAGATTGATTGAGGACGGCGAAAACATGATTTATTCAATTTAGTTTTGTGCATATTTAAATGAATTTTCAATATTATCTTTGTGTATTTATTTGTTTTCTATTTTCGTTTTTTTATTTTTTTTAATTAAATTTCATAGATATTTATTTTATTATTTGAAAATATTTTTTT